TTAAGATCCAAATCATAACACCTGCTGTTGTGGGGATATGATTGGCTGAGGTCCAGGAAGCAGCTGATGGCTGGAGATGAGAATTTGGGAATCATCTTTACATGTGGAGGATTTAGTCTGTTGGAACAGATGAACTCTGTGTGAGCACAAGAACATGAACAAGGCTAGAACAGGGTCCTGAGAAAGAAGAATATACAAATGTAAGCAGAAGAAGTAGCTAGAGCAGTCGGACAAAACACCAGAAGGATATATCATAAAAGTAATACAAAACTCAGACCTGAGAATGAGTTCCATTCCAGAATTATCTGTAAGTCAGATGAGTTTGTAGGCTGACAGTGTCTTATACAGTATACCTGTGAAAGCTCATAACTCAAATGTTTATAAGTTGGGGACTTACTAACTTGGGGCTTGATTACAGGGCCTTCACATTGAAGGGCTACATCTTGAGCCTTTTTATTTATTTATTTATTTATTTATTTATTTATTTATTTATTTATTTTTTAGGTTTTTACTTTTGAGGTAGGGTTTTGCTAAGTAGCTAAACTGTCTAGACTGGGCTCAAAGTTGAGATCCTCCTGCATCAGTCTTCCGTAGTGCTGGGATTACAGGTGTGTACCACTGTGCCGGCCTCAAAACATGAATACGTAAGAGGTATTAAAAACACATAAAGATCAGGAGAAAATAGAGCCATTGCAAAATGTTGTTTTTCTTTTGGAGTCTGGTTTAAAGAGGCATAATTTACATGTAGAAAATTAATTTTGATGTGTAGTTCTATTAATTTTTTGTTATGTTGGTTTTGTTTATTATTCATTGTCCTTATTTGGTAAAATTTACACAACTTAAAATGTTCTATTTAATCTGTTTTAAGTGCACATTTCAGTGCCATTAGGTATATTGATAAAGTCATGCAAACACGACTGTCCATGTTTAGAACTTTTCCATCGTGTCAAGCATATCTCTGTTCTTTACAAAATAGCTGCTTTTTCCTACCCCCACATTATTTTTGAGAAATACATAGATCGTGCAACTTCTGTGACTCCTCATATTTTCTGGGACACTTTGTAGAACCCCCACCGAAGGTGTGCTTTCTGCCTGGTTGTGGTGTTTGTAGAATGTCATTTGAATGAACTCACAGGCACCTGTTCTCTGTAGCCTTTTAAAATTTGTTTTAATCCACAATTTAATGTTTTAAAGCAGGTTAATTAATTATTAGTTAAATGCTGCTTGGAGAATGATTTATGCTAAATGCACCTGCTCTATGTAATAATTTAAAAATAAACTGAAGCGTTTATAACGGCAATAGCTGCAGTTACCAATCACAGGAAATGCATTTTTGAAGCTTCTCTCTGATTACATTACATAATGAATAAGAATTTTAAATGGTAACGCAGACACAGGTATAATTTTAAGTTGGTGATATGTGCATATTAAAATTTATCTTGATAAGGTAAAAAATACAGCAATATAAATTGATATTTAGATTTTTTCCTGCAAAAGTAGAATCACACTTTCAGAATACTCCCAACATATCTCATGAAAGCTTTGTTTATAGACAAAATAATAATTTTCCTACAATTCACCCACTCCGTAACTTAAAAGAAAAAAAAATTGCATTTGCCAACTGATATTTTTTCTTGTTTTTAAAGTTACAAATGGATAACTTCCAAAGAGGTTGGAGCGGTTGGAGCACGTGAGCTCCGTCCCAGGGCCCAGACTGCACACAACCGGAAGTGGGGCTGACGACTGAAGAAGTGTTTTCCTCTTCCGTCAGATCCTGCGGCCTAGCGGTGGCCTCATAGCTCACGCTGTGAGTGCTGGGTGGGGCGCTTTTCCTGGCTGAAGTTGCACTGCCTTGGAGGCCTGGAGCCTGCTCAAGGGGCACTGGGACGTGGGCTGAGTCGAGGCCGGCTGGGATCCTGCGCTTGGTCTAGGTCACAGCGGAGTTCTTTAGGGAGCCGTGCACAAGTGCGGGCACACCTCCTTCCTGGGGTGCAGGCGTGCGTGCGTATGTGTGTGTGTGTGTGTGTGTGTGTGTGTGTGCATGGGTGTGTCCAGGGGCCTGGTCAGCCAGTCCTTCCACAACTTCCTCACAAGGCCTTCTTGGAGAGAGAACGCATGTATGTGTTCGTGGGGTGTGTACACGTGTGTATATGAGCTTGCACACACGCACGGCACGAGTGACCAGGACCTAAATGCGAGAGCACACACACGTAGCCAGGACACTGAAGTTTCTGTGTCACGGCAGTGTGTGAACCAGGAACAGTACAGAAAGCTAAAAGCTGACTTCACCAACTGGCAATAGCGAGTAAGATTTTGAAGACTAAGAAAAATGCCTGAAGTTGACATTATTTGCTTTGAACTTAATGGTGAGTAAATATATACTAGCTACTGGGAAGTGGAAAATCATATTGGAGCACATCTGAAATGTCCTTTCACTGGGGTTCTGATTTTCCTCCTTTTACTTTTTTTTTTCTATCTTGTGCCCTTTGTCTATTTTAAATTGTTATGTATGTGCATTTAGTAATTTCCCAGTTTCTTAAATTATATTGTAGAGTGTGTAAAAGTTTGGTCACTTCAGGCGAAGACTTGAGTTATCAAGGTTAAAAGCTAACTAGCTCCACACGGGCAGAGTGGGGCCTGTGGATTGGAGCCTCAAACAATTTTGTATTTTTAAAATTTTATGGAAATTGGGTGTGGAGGCACATGCCTGTAACCCCAGCAGCCTGTAATCCCCAGTCTGAGGCAGGAGGATTGCCGTGAGTCCGAGACCAGACTGCACTATGAAGACCAGCCTGAACTACATAAGCTAGATCCTATCTCAACAAACCAAATAACTAACCAACCAACCAAAAAAAAGGTAGAAAACCCTATATTAAACTGTGATGAAAGAGCCAAGCAAATTATTGTGCTTTTAACCACCTTCAATGTGTCTCTGCTACCAAGAAGAAATGCCAAGCCATGAAGAGATGTGGGAATAAAATAAAGTCTGAAAATTCACTTCTTCAGATACCAGCCAAATTCTCATCAGAAACGAGTGTCTGAAACTTCATGTTAAAAAGTGAAATCTTTAAAAGCATTAGATATGTTGGCAAATGAATGGAAGAGATAAACAGCTATGGAAGTACTTCGGTATAAAGGCAATTGTAAGATTTCTAAATAAATGCAGTGCAAATAATTTGCTAACTACATATATGGCGAATCTGTCCCCATCACAGGTTTTAGGTTTATACATGTTTTGGGTTCTTAAAAAGCGCTCTAAAAATGCACTCCCTGTTGTTTGTGGTTAGGGTGGGCCAGCACCAGGCATGGCCATCCCATGTGGCTGAGGTGTCCCCGAGCACCTGCGAGGCCTGGCCTGTGGAGGGGTGTGCAGGACAGGTGGTATCCCAGACCAGGCCACTGCATCCTCCTGGCTTCACTCAGCTGATTGATGGACCATCTGCACACTACCGGTTCACCCCAACCACTGAGCTGGTTTTGGTGCTGATCCATCCCCTGTTCAACTACATATTGGACAGGTGAAACTGCTAACCAGCTAGAGAAGCCTGCACTTCCCAGAAGGTCTGCTCCTCTGCACCTGAGAAGCAGCCTGGTGACACTGCAGACGCCCAGTGCAGCTGAGGCTTTTCAGCAACCTGCTCTGGTCCCAACCTCACACACAGGCTGAAATAATAGCAACATCATATTAATCCTTCTTGGAATAAAGAAACGAGTGTGGGAATGAATGTGTGTAGCCTTTTGAGTCTGAGATCTTTCACTTAGTAAAATATGTCTATTGAGATGACCATGTGATTTTTGTCCTGCTTCTGTTTAGATGATGAATTACACTCACTAATTTGTGGATATTGAACCATCCTTGCATCTCTGGGATGAAGCATACTTGTCATGGTGTAGGATCTTTTGGATGATTCATTGCATTCTGCTTGCCAGTGTCTTGTTGAAGATGTTTTGCATCTATTTCATTAGAGAGATTGGCCCATACTTCTCTTTTTTGGTTAGATCCTTTTCTGGTTTGGGGACCAGGATAACATTAGCTTTCAAGAATGATTCTGGAGGTATTCTTTCCCCCTTGATTCCATTACAGAGTTTGAGGAGTACAGCTTTGCTTTTTTTTTGCTCATTGTTGCTTTGGCTAGTCTGCATCTTTTCTAACCTCTCCTTTCATACAACACTGAGTCTTTTCTGATTCTATATGAATTTTAGGATTTTTTTCTAGTTCTGAAAATAATTCCTTTTTAATATTTTGAAATCCCTCAGTTCTTAATTACATCTAATTTCCCCCCTCAATATTCTATTTGGAATCATATGGAAATGAAATAACAATGGTGGAATGAATGAGGAAGCAGTAATAGAGCTTGATAAGAAAAATGTTTATTTATCAAATCTTCGGAGACATAAAAACACTTTTTCCCCCCTGTGAAGTCTTAAGAACAGGGCCTCCAGCCCCCAAAGGACTTCTCAAATGTGTGGCTCTCAAGCATTCCCGGGATCTGTGATAATGGAAAGAAAAAAAATTTAAGGCGGATTTGGATTTCCATCAGCAGAGATGTTCCTTCCCTTAAGTCTGGGGGGCACAGGGCCTGAGGAAACCTGATTAGTGTAGTGGAAAATGGAATCTGTTAGGGATAAGAACCTAGTAAACGGCCCTGTGAATTCCCCGAGTTTGACAGTCACTGAGACTCTCAAATGCCTGTGTTTTTCTATGATCATATGTAGCGTGAATAATATGAAAACTCTCAAGAGTATTCACACAGACTGTTATGAAGGAGGAGATCTGGGGGACAAACCAGAGAGAGCCTGACTGCATTTTGAGGCAGTATAAATTGCGTACCTTTGCTGCAAGGAGCAGAGTACTCAGCAATTGCAAACTCATCTGAAAAACAAACAAACCAAAACTCATTACATGAAGCCCGTGCAGGAATCTTGGATGTGGGAAGAAAGGCATCGATTGAGAAAGGTCAGCATCAGGCACTCTACATATCCACTGCTGCCTTCTTTTGTCCTTTTAGGTACAGAATCTTGTATCTTCTCCCCCAACCCCTCAAAGAAAAGACAGTTCAGATGTTATACTTGCTTAAATCTCGTATTATTCTACAGTTGGTTTTTCTGAACAAAAGGGAACAAAATACCCCATAATTTTTTGTTTTAGCAGTTGAAATATGTAGGTAGTTTCTACTGTGTAGGTTTAGAAAACATAAAGTAGAGAATAAAACTTAATGTAGGCAAAGATAAAGCCATAAGAGAGTGTAATGTAATAAAACACCCAGAGCATCCCTCATGCCGAGATTTAATTTCTATGTGACAGCTGCTCTCACTCACTTGTCTCGTAGTAATCATACACTTTAACTATTGCTGGCTTCAGATCTCTTACTTCTATGTCTTGCACAATGAAGAAGGACAAACTCAGTGTCTGGTTTGAGACCTAGAAACAAAAGGGAGTTGAATGACCTTCCAGGGAACTTTGATTTCTCTTTGAATAGATGAATAATAGGCATTTGTCTATTTTTTTCGAAAAGGAATGTTAACTGCACCCTACAGGGTCCTTACACTTTGTACAAAGCTTTTGGAGTAGATGAGAAAATCCACAAATTATTTCTTAAATAACCGAGATGACTCATATAATGCTATCATTGCCAGTAGTTGGTACTTTTCATAGGGAAAGTTTATATATGCTTTTTGTTGGCTGACTAGCTATGTCCTTTTTAAATATTCAGAGATTTGGCACAATTTTGCCTTTCCACCCTGTAGAAATGCTTCTGCAGAGTTGAAGGAGAAGTATACAAAAGGCTGATCACTGAAGCCTTTAAAATTTTAAATCTACAACATTGGGCCTGTTTATAAAATTATATTTTTTGTTGTTTTTTTGAGATAGGGTTTTACTATGTAGTTCAGGCTGGTCTTGAACTCACTATGTAGCTAAGGCTGACCTCAAACTCTCAGTGATCTTCCTGCCTTAGCCTCCCAAGTGCTGGAATTACAGGCAAGTGACACTGCGCCTGGCTATGGTTTATTGGTGGACTGGTTTATTATTTTATGGTCCAAATCACTGAACCTGAAATTATTTTCCTCTTTCATACTGTTGATGGGGATGTTAATTAATTAATAATCACAATGGTTACTTCCCCACATTATTTGTTATCTTTGAAATGATCGTGAGCATAAAGAAAATGCTTCATGTAGAATTTCGTGCTTATGGAATCTTGGAACTATTCATAGCCTAGTATTATAAGAAGTGATAGGGGCTGGGGATTTAGCTCAGCGGTTTGGTGGCCTGCCTTGCAAGCGCAAGGACCCGAGTTCAATCCCCAGTACCAAAAAAAAAAGAAGTGATTTATCCTCATAATCTCAGATGAAATGTAATTAAAAGACAGGAGAACATTCACTGGAGTTCATATTAGAATTTTCAAATTTCTAGCACGGAGGTGATATTCCCCAAATTACATTTTTATTTATTATTTTTTTATAACTACTATGGCAGGGATCACCTTATCCAGATAAATCAGGACATGGCTGTTGCTGACTTCAGTTCGGCTCACGTCGTCAGATGTTTCAAGCTCAAGAGAAAAGAGACAAAAGTTAGTAAATGGAACCTGGAGGATCCAGAGGAAACAAATATTTTCTTAGTACCAAAATAAGCTTGAGGGTGGAATTCCTTCCTATGATTTTTATATGTAAAACATAAGGTAGTAAAAATAAAAACAAAGGATACTTTTGACAAAAGGGTTAGGGTTAGTGTGGCACATGACCCGGGTGGCAAAGCTGACTTGTCTGAAGAAAATGAAAGTAAACATAAACTTCGTAATTACTCATGTTTCAAAGTGGTTTTCTTTTCTCCTTCCTTCCCTCCTTCCTCCCTCCTCCTCTTCCTCTTTCTATCTGTCCCTTTCTTCTTTCAACTGATAGTTTTGGAGACTGGGTTTGCTGTTCTGTTAGTTGGTTTCAAACTTGCTAAATTGTCCAGGCTGGTCTCAAACTCACAATGCTCCTGCCTCAGCCTCCTGGGTGCTGGGAATCCAAGTATATTTTAGTATTAGTATTGTCTCGGTCTGGTGTTATGGTTTGTATCCAGATGTCCCCTCAAAGCCTCATGTGATCATACCTGGGGCTTTTTGGAGATGGCTGGATCTAGGGAGTGTGATGCTGGGATTATGGGTATGTGATTACTAACTAGGTTTATCGTAGTTCTGGATGTGGATAATGGAAGCCCCACCCTGAGTGTGGGCTTTATTCCTGGACGGAATATAAAGGGAGAGATGGAAGGCAGGCTTGATGCTACTGCTCCTGCTTTCCTGCCTTCCCGGCCATGGACTGTTTCTCCTCTGTGATGCTGCTCTGCTATGCCACTGTGCCTTGGAGTCAGTTGACTAAGGACTGAGACCTCCTCAAACTGAGAGCTGATAAATCTTTCCTTTCCTTGTGGCTGATGGATATTTTGTCCCAGGAGAAAGAAAAGCAAGTAAGACATCTGGGGACAAATAAACCATTAGATAAAACCAGACTTCCCTGCACACGTAACAAATCTACCTTTTTCACTGTTGGTTTCAGGGGGATGAAGCCAGACACCATCTTCACATCAACAATGGCCATATTGGAGGCAGGACGGTTCCCAGTGTAACTGCAGATCCAGGAAAGGAAGGATTTGGGTTTTTCTGTGTTATAAAATGTTCTCTTTTTCTGTGTTCATGTTAAGAACGCAGTAGCTCTACAAAGTACAAATAAGTCTTCCCAGATATACTACCCTAGTGGTTCAGAGATCTGGTGGTAAATTTGAGTTTGTACAAAGCCTACTGAAGCCACAGAGTTCAATCCTACTCTGGACCTGCAGAACCGAATTTCAAGTGCATAGATGGAGGATCCTCATGCTAAGAAGTCTCTCCCAGTGATGCCTGGATGTGAGGCTTATAATCTAGGCCAGTTATTTATGACATATATTTTATCTTGATATTTTCCCTGAATGTTATACCAACCAAATGATAAAATTCATGTGGACAGGTACTTTTTTTGGGTAAGATTACTTGAGTATTGTTGCATATAAATATGTTTTTCTCTAAACTTGATTATATTGTATGTAAACTGAGATTTATTTATTGCCTGTAAGAATATTACTTCCATCTACCTGAGCTTGTCAAGAGTTCTCTCTGTGTTTGGAATAACCAAAGAACAATATAGTATTACATTCAAAAAAACATTCAAGTCACAGGCCAGGGGTTATATTCTTTAGTTATTATTGGGGGAAGTATTAACCTTTAAGTGATGAGGTTGGAAATTAATGGGTCATGGAGGCAAGGGATAGACAGGGTGAACCTCAGCACTGAGGGATTCTATCAACTTAAAAGAACACACTGCTTTTAAGTAAATGCTGCACAAACTATACTGCCACACTTCCCCACTTAGTGAGGAGTCCCAGTACGAAGACGAGAATTTGGTGATGCAGTCTGGAGATCCTACCTGACGTTCAGTGAGATCTGGAAGCTGGTGTGGGCTTTGGGTCCGTCACAGGCTGAAGGCAGAGTCTGCACCTCCAAAGCAAATGGGAATGCGTCCTTCTCTGGGAGAACATTGTATTTCAAGGATGTCTACAAAACATTAAAGATAAAAACAAAGTTTTTCTTCCTGACTTTCTCTCCACTTCCTCTGCTCTTTCTCTGATTTGCCCTACTTTCCAGTGAGAACAGTTATCGGATCCTCACCTGGAGGTAGACACACCCTTCCCCTGTCACTCTCGCTTCGTATTCCCCAGGCACTGTCGGCAGTGACACCTGCTGTAGTAACAGGCGGTTGTTGTTGTCCACTTGGAAGTTGGTGGAAAATGTGTCTGAAGACCGGATGGTCACCTGTGCAGCGTTCCCAGTCCTGGTAAAAGTAGCAGCTCCATATTTGGACAAAGCATGGAGAGCTACCACTGTGTCCTGGAAGAGAGGAGTGAGAGCACCCACTTAGGTGTTGCCAGGTTTGGAAGTGCTTTGTGTGTGGGGAGCTTGGCTGCCACGGTGACCCTGGGAGATGGCAGAACCTTTAAGAGATGGAGCCTCACTGAGGATCCTGCTGTTGGAAGGGATTAAGGTTGTTCTTGTGAAAGGGTTGTTATAAAAGGAGCAAGCATGACCCTACTCAGCTCTATGGCTTCCTGCTCTGAGTTGGGTTCTTTCCCATTTGTGTTCTTGCCTTGGCCATCTGCCATCAGGTGATGCAGTTGTGTAGGGGAGTGGGATCACCAGAGACTGTGACATTCTGTTTGGACATTCAGCCTCTAAAACTGAGCTAAATAAACTCATTTTCTTTATAAACTTTGTTGCCTCGGGTATTTTGTTATAGTCATAAAAAGTGGACTAATACAGGTATGATCACTCCTCAAGGACAGATATTTTTCAAAGTCCCATGTAAACCACTATAAAGTGGTTTTAATATCCCATTTCCCTCATTACTTAAATGTTTACATTCTAATTTCAAAATTGATTATAATCTTTAGATGGATGACAGAATTACAACATTCACCAAGACTTTGGATGGTATACCTTTGAAGTTTATTTCATCAGAAAGTTATCTCTCATTTAGCTTTCTAATGTTGGACATGGGATGTGAAAAATATAAGGCATCCGCTACGTGCCTATGATGCCTTTCTCCACAACTGTGGTCAATACACCTCCACCAAAGCACAGTCCGTCCTCTCCCCACACAAAACCCTATTCCCTTGCTGAGGTCAGTGTTCTGAGAGAATCCTAGGTTTTTTTTTGGTAGCCATATCAGAGTCGTGCTTCAGTTTCTCCAAAACATAAAAGATGATCACAATGACTATCTTCTTAATTTAATGACTTCCTTTCTACTGGAACAGTTCTGGTGCCCAGTGATTTCACCTTCGTATGCCATATTCTTAATATCCCTTGATATCCAGCCTGAATGCTATCTTCCAAATAACTGATATCTAACAAATTAATGAGAACTGCTTTTAACAGAGTGATTTAGTTTTTTTTCACTCATAGGGAAAACCAAGAGTTTAATACAACGGGAAAAGGATAAGATGCCATTATGTCCTATTCTGTCTTTTAGAGCAAGTAGGATAACAGCTACGTTCTTTGATGATGCAACTTCCTGTTGGGTACATGTTAACGAATTGCATACACACATGGCCAGGATTATGAGGTTGGATGAATAAAGACAATCTTCTATTCTCCTAGTGGACTAATATTTGTGTGTAAAGAGGTTGGTGAGGAGCGTGAAACGTGTCCACTTTAAGGGACACATCAAGAATGGAGAGATTTGCCAGGAGAGGCGATTGCTGGGTTTTGAGCTTCTGAGAATAGTTTGAATGAGATGAGATGGTTAAAACTTCCAGAAGAATGGTGGGAGATGTTTTTTCTTTTTTTAATTCTGCTGATGCCCTACTACTACTTTAGGGAGAGAGAGTTGTTACAGGAAATGGGACCCTGTGATAAAACATTTTTTTTTCAGCCTCTGTTGACTTATTTCTCATTATGCTTGTATACTAATAAGCTTTCAAGTTATTGCCAACTTCTCTTTTTATCCTTCTATGTGTTTTATAGCTTACTTGAAGGTTTTGCTGCCTGAAGGTGAAGTAGCAGTTTCTGGGAGTCACCCACCTGGGTGGAGGAAAAGCCACCGTAGGAGTTCTGTTGCTTTGTGATCCATTTCACAATGCGTGCTGCGGAAGTCAGCTCCGCTGGGGTCTGGGCTGTCTGGGCTGTGAGGAGAGCTAGGAGCACGTAGGCCGTCATCTCCACTTCGGCAGAGGGCGCCCGGGGTTGGTACAAATGTCCCTCTGGTTCCCTGGGTTTCTGAGGCCGTGCCCAGTGGATAGAATTATCTGGGTGTGAGAAAAAGAGTTTTACAAGTTACTGAATATTTGTATTTAATTTAAGGCGAGAGAACCCAAGCCAGAGCTGAAGTGAGGGTTGTTTTCCAGTTGTAATCTTTCAAACTTTATAGAGATGGTTTTTCTTACAGGTAAATCTGAACTCAGGTGCTGCAACACACAAAGTCAAGGCAGGTAATGTTGCCAGAGGCAGATGCCTACAGCCCTGTGTGTAGTCGGATCTTTACTATAGTTGGGTCGAGGGGGAAAGAAATGGCCCAGCAAGGGCTCTCACGATGGTGCCTATTTCCTACTTCTCGTCTTATCCAGACCTTGGCTAGAAGTGTTAAATTCCTTGTTCTTAGAGGTTTCTCTTTAGGATCTCAGGTCACATGACAGAACTCACATCCATCGAATTGAAAACAGATCAGAGGAACACCCAAAGCCACCGTGTGTGTTAGGTAATGGGAGTCAGGAATCGCAATATTCAGCTTAGGGTACCAACCACCACCATGCTCCTCAGAGTGTAACCTGGAAACCTCACATGTGCGTGAGGAGAGAGAGGCCGGCGAATTCACTGCAGCACTGCTTGTGAGAGAAAACAAACAAACAAACAAAAAAACCAAAAAAACAAGGTCCACAAGGAGAAACTTGATACACAAATGATGACCTAATGCTGTATTACAGTGTTTTCTGCAGCAGAGAAAATTAGAGAACTAAAATTACAGACCCCTCTGTGCTTACTCTCAGGAGCAGAGTGTTGAACTTAAAAAATAAGCAGCAACAAACACACAAAAATCCAAGCCACGGAAATACCCCGCAAATAACCACGGATATCTAAAGATGAAAAATGGTACATACTATGTATATTATTTAGCAGTACATGTGCAACAAAACTATAAAGACACGCATAGGAATTAGCAACACCAATTCAGAATAATGATTGCCTCTGCAGGTGGAAGAGGGAAAAGGGATTTTTTTTTCGGTGTTGCTACTGCTTTATTTCTTAGGCTGGGAGGGAGTGATATGTGGGTGTTTTCTTTTTCTTTTTTTTTTTTTCTCTTGTTGCTAGTGTTATTTTTCTTTTTTTTTTTTTAAATTGAGTTTATTGGTGCATTCTAGGTATACAGTATAGTTACATTCATTATTGGGATCTTGTACCTTCACATGACAGGTCTTGGTTCTCATTTTTTTCCCCTTGTCCCTGCCGCCCCTTCACTCCCTCCTCCCCTCCCCATTTACAAACACTTTATTTCCATTTTTTCATTTTCTCACATTTTTTTCTTTTCCCTTATTCCCTTCCCCCTACCCTTCCCACTTTCCCTACACCTTTAGCCCTTTTCTTCCTATTTCACATTGTCACTTATCTCATTAGGATCTTATGTACTATTATAGTTTATTCACACCAGGGGAGACTATTCGGTATTTACACGTGTGACATTTATTTCTCTTAGGAGCATATCCTCAATATGTATCCATTTTCCTATGAATGAGTCTAATTTCTCATTCTTTATGGATGAGTAGTGTGGGTATTTTCTACTTATTATTCCTACCGTTTTGTATCTCTGAAATATTTTCCAGTATATTTAAAACATTCAGTGGCACATTTAAATGAGAAAGGCAGAATGTGTACTGGACATCTTATCACCTGCAGTCTACTTTCTGTTTCCTTGGCGTATACAGCGGTATTGTGTGACTGTGAACAGATTGGCCAACATTATCGGTCTTGTGGAAGGAGAATGAGACGTCAGAACCTGTTTCTGGGTTACTTTCTTTAACCTTTCCTTATGTTTGAGATGATACAATGCACCAAGCATGGGTTCAGAATATGTTAGGAAATACCTTTTAGTAATAATAGTATTTTATGGCATTTGCCGTGTGAATACCTTATACTAAGTGTTTTGCATATAGTAACTCATTTAATAGGAGAGCACTGTGAGGCGAATACGATTCCAAACCGCATTTTACTGATGACGGAGTTGAAGCACAACAGGACGATGACTCACCCATGGTCAAAGAGGTGGTGTGTTTTGGAGCCAGGTAGTCTCCAAAGGCTGAGCTTCTCACTGCTATGCCTGCCCCCTCTTATATTTTGAAGTTTGATTTTATTAAGGGATTCTAGATTTTATAAAAAATACGATATGGAAGAGAAGTGAGGAGAACCACAGAGACAGGAGCAGGGAAGTTTTGCACTGCAGGTCACCGTTCGGATACGTGAGACAGGAGATCTTACCTTCTTTCACACCTTCGCCTTCCAGGGAGTTCAGTATCTCTTTCCTCTTGTCCTGGTTCCCTGCCAGGGCAAATGCGTAGGCCAGCAGTGCCTTGGTGTAGACATGGCTGCCGTGGGCGCCTTCCTTTGCTGACTTCCAGGCTGAGTCCAGGCAAAACAGGGCGTTGCGGACCGTAGGATGCTGTGAAAGGGGCACAAGAGGGGAACTGAACAGGGGCGCCGGCATTCCCACTAAACACACATGCTGTAGCGAAGGTGTAAGTACATCTGTCTGGTGAGAACTCATTCTTATGGATAGAGAAAACAGCATTTTTACCCACTGTTCTCTTTTCAAAAGGCAGGAATAGAGACCACATCTTTCAGATTCTCTTTTTTTGGGAGGGAGGGAGAGTTAGGGGAGAAGTAGTCTACAGTCATCACTGGGAGGGTATAGATCTTTCTTGGATTGACCAAATTCTCTGCTGATCCGGGGGACATCAGCCTTGCGTAGCAGGGCTGACATTTCGTTTCTAGGTTAGTGTTTTGGACAGCAGGCGAGTGGTTTCCTCTTCATCGTGTGCAGAACTATCCTTTCTGCAGGCGAATGAGGACTACTCACAGTAATGGGGAGCGGGATCTCCAGAAGGGCAATGGTAATATAAGCAGAGAGGGTGACTTCATCTTCTACTCCTCCCTGTAAATATGCAAGAGGAAGAGGTCTGAGCAATCCAGGTCTTTCCTTTCTGCTGCGCTGTGGAATTTATCTGTCCCCACCGGTCCAAGCAACAACTGATCTTACTCCCACCCCCTCTTTCTTGGCTGAATCCAGGTTCTGTTTTCCTGACGCCTCTTGGCAGGAATTTCCACATGCTCACTCCTTCTCTTCGTGTCTATAGATATCACAACAACAAAACAGTCCCAGGATGGTTCACCTTTATGGCATTGTTGAGTAGTGACCCGGAGCTCTGGAAACAGCCATTGTCCTTCTGCCTCTGGGAGAGCCAGGAAAGGGCTTGGGTGATGTGTGCTTCATCGATGAAGATGTATTTTTGAGCCTGGGCAAAAGTCTTCAGTACAAAGGCCGTGAGCCTGACAGGGCAGAAAGAGGTGGTTTTTATGTAGTCACAGTGCTTTCCTATCACGTGACACCAGTGGGCATGGAGCGACTCTTCCTACACCTGTCAGGGATTCTTATAAACCAATGTAAACCAAGATTAACGTGCTGTATGTAGTGTTTCCTGGCTGACTCCCTCTCCCTTAGCACCGGGTGTCTACGTTCTTCTAATTTAATTTTCTTGGTTATTTGTGGAAGGCTTCTAAATATATCTTTGGAGATTTCATTCTGTAGATGACAGAACCTTCTCATATGTGGCCTTTATATGCAATAACTTCTAATTTGCTTTATCTTAAGGATTTAAGAAATTATTTCATATCACTGTTGCCTGCTCAGTTCTTTCCTCCAAGAGAATTTATTCTGAGTCATGATAAGTATGATGTAAAAAATGCAATTTAAGTGGAGATTAATTAACATTGTTTATCATCTGTAAGTCATATGAGATAGTCTGACTATCTCATCTAAAAACTCAATTATGGGAGTCATTTTAAAGAAAATACCTTGGCATATAATTAAGGATGAATTTTGGAAATGAGTCTAATATGTATGTGCTTAAATACCAGCTTTTCTTCTTGTTATCTTGCTAATACTGGTACATTTATCTAGCATAATATACTGTAGGTCTAATAATACAAATCCCAATAGGCTTGCTATGAATATAATTTTGGTAATATATGTAAAAGAGCTACACAAAAATTGGGCTCAAAAAGTTGCTTTTCCCTTACCAAGTGTTGCCCAGGACCCTGCCATATCTCTCCCCGAAGGTGCTGTAGGAGCCATCCTGGTGCTTGTAGTTTAACTGTCTCTGGTAGCCTGGAATGGAGTACCAGTGAAACAAAAGGCAAGATTAAAGTCCATGCTGAGGTCAGAGAAATCACTTGAATGCGTTGGTGTCTCTTGTAATTTTTTCTAAAATTTTTCTGTTATATGTTAGAAGGTCCTGAGTCTGGGTGATTTTACTGGGAGTTGGAGAGTGGACAGTTTCCATAAAACTGACTATCATAATGTTCTTATCACAGTAGTAACATACTGAGATAAAATCGGTACAATAGTATTGATACTAATTCAAACCTACCAGGGACTCATTGAAAGGGACACTGTCACACGTTTGTAGGAAATCACTCAGTCACTCACCCGTGCTGAGATAGCCGATGGCCTTGGACTTGGTCTCTGGAGTGAGTTGCTGTGTCTCATTTAGGTAATCCAGAACGTAGAGGTTAGGAGTGAACAGAACCATATTTTGTTCTCCACAGCCGTAAGGCATCTGGAGGAGATTGTGTATGTTCTGCATGGCAGAGCCCAGTAGGTCGCCTGGAGAGTGGATGAGACCAGAAGTCATGAAGGTTAGAGATTCAAATCCACCCAAAGTATTAAAAAGAAATGAGTAATCAGCTGGTCTAAAATAGGAGTTTTTTTTTTAAGGGAAGGATAAGTTTACCAGACAGAAGTATGATTAGAATTAATAAACAAACCTGAAGAAGGGAAGAAGAAAGAAGTTAAAATTGTATTTATTCTTTTGAGTGAATATTTACAGAAAGGAAATATAGCTGAAGCTGTCAATGCCCACATCCACAAGGGGCTGGACACGCACCCAAGATGGAGACAGAAGCTCGGGCAGATTCTTCTACCACACTGGATGGCAACTTCAGGGATAACTTTTCAGATACTTCAGCACCTAGGGAAAGAAGCAAACCAGTCAGATGAAAACTCTTTCTGCAATGTTTTTTGGGACACAAAAGCCAGATTATTCCTTACACTTAACTACTCCTGAAAATTTGTGCCTCATTTCATAGAAGAGTTTCCTTTTTAAATTCCGCAAACAAGGCTACTGGGATTTTTGAGTTTAGAATTTCATCCCATCATAATTTCCCCCTGTATGGAGAGTTTCATTTCAAAAGAAGACAAAATTGGCTGTGTGATGTTGTGATTCCGCTATAGTCAGTCTTGATTGAACTTTCTTACTTAAAAATTGTGTAAAGAAACAACAACAGCAACAACAACAAAGACCTGTGTGTCTCTGTCAGTAAAGGAAAATTTCCCAGGCACCTATGGTCAAGTTATTTTCAACAAAGTTGCCAAAAATACACAATGCTTGCATATGTACACGAGGAGACTATTATTATTAATATTTTACTAGCAAATAGGAAAAACTATTATGGAAAGGACTAAAACCCAAGCAGAATGCCCTCATGTATAATCATGTAGGTAATTAAACTTAATTCACTTACATGCAGAAATAAGCCTACCCAACCAATGAATTACGTTTTAGAACACATTTGATCCATTAAATCCTGGCAATATAAAAAAATCATAGTGAACAAAATTAGTAGATAAACAGAGAAAGGCAAAGGACCTATGTATTATGTTGATTCAATATTTGTTTGGTGCAAGAACAGACTATATTCAGAAATTTCTTAGCACTGTAAATTTCTATAAATGTTTGATTCAGATTAAAAAATTCTGCATGAAGACAAAGTTATGTCTTCTACCATAAGCTTCCTCAGTCACCTCTTACATGACTGATAGAGCCTTAGATGCAGGATTGACATTAAAGATATACATCTATAAAGAGATATCTCTCTCTCTCTCTCTCTCTCTCTCTCTATCTATCTATCTATATTTTGGTACCGGGGATCAAACTCAGGACCTTGTGCTTATAAGGCAGGTGGCAGAGCCACTGAGCTAAATCCCTGGCTCAAAAGAAATATTAATATTATAATAAAATAAAAGCCACGACAATTCTTTTTTTTGGGAATGAGATAGTAGTCTTATTATCAAATGCTGTTAACTATGCAAAACTGAGCAGTAGAATGGCCTGAATTCAGCTCTCCCTGTCTTGTATTGCTAATTATTCAAGGAAGTGTACTCTTTGGGAATAATTATTTGGATTCTACCCACCTTCTACCTAGGTCCACAACCTACACTCATCAGACAGACATTTTGGTGTTTGAAAACGCACTGCAAGAAATAGAGATTCAGAATGTATGGCACAGGGAGGATCTCTGATCAAAGCACTTGGCCTCTTTAAGACTCATTTCCTCTTTTGTCACACATGTCGGTCACACTTCAGGTCTTACAATGTAGAGGAAGTGTAGGAATAATACAAAAAATTCTCTGGACTTCAAATGTTATTCAGGTTTCAGTCAATGTTAAATACTGTGATGGCCCTTACCTGCAGGACACAGCAGAGAGTTGACTGTTACTTCCTTCTCTATTCCTTCAGGCTTTGGGAAAGAGGAAGAAAAATTAGAGATGAGAATGGACTGATTCAGGACATTCACACTGACGGGGACCACAGGTCTCTCAGTTGGATTTGGGCTTCACTGTATAAATGGACTCTATACACATAGGCACTAGGAAGACAGGTTGATCCATGAGAGTATGAGGGGAAAATGAGGAGGATAAATCTTGAGACAGAGAGACAGGGACGGTACACAGGTAGATAGGGAGAGAGAGAATGATGCACAATATCGATTTGCTATTACAGTATCCATACATATGGTTGCCATGGATATTATTACAGACTAGCTCTGCTTACATAAAAGTGAACACAAAATGAAGATAAAAAAGGAAGGGAGGCAAGTGATGGGAGAGGGAAGGAGGGGAAGAAAAGGGGATGAAGAAGGAATTAAGATTTACAATGTCCGTGTGCCAACTTCCCACGAGGGATGTCAACATCATAGACAGCAGACAGGTACCGGTAAGTAAATTAAAATAAAAGATAAGAGTCCCAAGGTCAAAAAAGAGTTGGAACCCTAACTGTTCCCACCAGAGCCTCTTTGTGACTCAGTGTGGCCTATGAGATGGGCAGGATCACTTACTTCAACCAACAGGGGCTTGATAACTGTGTCTTTCTTCCCATAGGTAGGGACCACGGTCTTTTCATTCCTGCACAGCTCTGAAGACTCCAGGGCCTCTGCACTCACAGTGAAATTCACATTTCCTGAAAACAAATACAGCAGAGGGAAGTGGCATTGCCTTCCTCTGTGCTTGCAAACTTAAGATGTGCAAGGGCTTAACGCGCTATAAACTTTTATTTCATAAACGCAAAAGCCCAGGAAGGGAAGCAGCAAAAACCTTGAGAACAGAGGTGGAGGTGAAAATGCAAAGAGATCCTTCTAGGTGTGTTTGAGTGAAAGGGAAACAATCCCACCACCTGCAGGCCTGTGCCTGAGGGGAACTGGCAGGGGCTGTAAGGGTCACACTGAGATATTCAGTTTCTCACAGAGAATTGCTTACTCTAGGACTCTGTCCCTCACCTAGTGACTTCAGGGTCACGGCCCAGGACACCATTTGCCGCTCATTCCCACAGATACAATAAGACTCTTGGTCTCTGTCCACAGGCACAGCTAGGAATTTGGGAGAAGCTTCCAGCTGAATGCTGACCTGAAACCACACAGGAGGCAAAGGGATTAGAGGTAGAAGGGACCAGAGGATAACATGTTTGAGAAAAAGTATATGGAGGAAATGCTTAGATTTCAGGGTGCCTAAGAGCAACGATTACATAAATGAAAATCAAGCACCCTTAGACCATTATGGTGGGTTTGACGTTCAGATCATAGCATTCCGGGGTTAGCTTTCTCTTTCGTGGGGTGGCACAGAGGAGAGGCAAGGCAGCAATGCCCTTTACCTGTGTGAGCTCCATTTTGTTGGCCTAGCAGATGGGCTGGACCATTCACTCTGCTCTCCCAGCAGAGTATAAAATATCCACAAGCACTTATGGCTTCAGCAGAGGTTAGATGCTTGCAACTTTTAAAAAGAGGTTGAGTGCTGGGTGTGGTGGTGCACGCCTGTAATCCCAGCACTCAGGAGGCTGAGGCAGGAGGATCGCTGTGAGTTGAGACCAGCCTGGGCTACATAGTGAGTTCCAGGTCAGTCTTAACTACACAGTGAGACCCTGTCTCAGAAAACAAAAAACAAACAAAATGAGGCTGAGTGTAATGAATGAGCTAGGAAAAGTACGAGAATGTCAAAGTTGAATCTTGGGTAATCTGGCACCAAAGAAAGAACACTGATACCATGTTGGAAGTCTTTTTTTGCTTTGCTTTTCTCAGTGCTGGGGAGTGAACCCAGGGACTTGTGCACACCATACAAGGACTCTAGTTCTTGTCAGAAATTTTATTTTGCATCTAATTTGCAAAGTAAGTAAAGTATCTAATTTAATTTTGATAAGGGCCAGCAATGTATTTTTTAAAAAAATTTGGCCCTTAACGATATCAGCTGTTATCTGTATCTATGTATATCGCATTATCATTCCTCTGTTTCTTTCTCTGCTGTTCACATCTTGTGTATAGCATTTGTCAGAGGTCCTCATGATGCAACTGTTAATTTACGTGTCTGTTACCTTGTATTCACTTTAGGAAAGAAAGACTCTTACCCGGATGCAGTCGGGCAGGTAGTTCAGCACGGTAGCCCTGAGCGTGAAGGCCTCCCCACGGACCACGGAGTAAGGCATCGTGAGCTCCACGAAGAAGGGCTGGAAGGCGCGGAGGGAGGCGGTGCGGGAAAGGCCGAGTCCCACGTCCGGGGACAGGCAGAGGGCCCCGGCCTTCCACTCGGTGATGGTGTCCGGGACCGTGACTCCGACTTCGGCCACGCCCGACGAACTGGGAGGGACGATGCGAGGGGCAGAAAGCAAGCCACCAAGTAAATCCTTCCTACACCTATAAGTGACTTTGCTACAAATGATTCTAAAGAAATACCAGCAATGCAGGGCACAATCAAGACTCAACATAAAAAAATGCAAGGGCATTTCTTCCCGCTCTGTTTCCTATTCCAATCTAGGCCAGAATCTCTTATGGACATGTAACTGTGATGCGATTATTTATGGATGATATAATAATGGACTACAAGTATAATTTGAGATTGTCCTTAAGTTCTCGTCTGTAAAATAGTGCTCCACCAAGAGCAGGTTTGTAATTTTGACTTCTACTACTACTGCGCATATTTGGCCTGACTGAGTCTATGCTTACTTAGCCTAAGACTAATGACCATCTCCTAGCTCTTCATCTGTGTGGTTCTTGGTCATATTTAGTCCTTATGCTTGCTTTCTGGAAATCTTTGAATAAAAGTTTTGCAAAATTTCTTGGTTCTGATTCAAGTCGGTTATTGAAACTTCCTAACAGTATTTATGCTAAGCCTCACCTGAAAGTAAGTGTAAAAGAGGGAGTTGGATGATGAAAACTTAACTGATAGTTCCCAGTTACCCGCCAGAAGGGTTTGTCTATGCATTTTCCCAGGTGTTGCCTGAGGTCGGGGCTTCTGTGTAGCCTCATCAGAGAGCAGAAGGGGCAGGTGCACAGCAGCCACAGGAGAACCTGAACCTGAAGGGGAGTTTGGACCTTTCCTGTGCTTCCCACCCAGCTTGCTTCAGTAATAAAACTAAGTCTCTGTCTCTCCCCTGGAAGGGATTTGTTAATGCATCAAGAACTCCAGCTTTTGTAGTTCCTACCACAAATTTTCTACCTGCGGGAGTGGAATGTACTTGTATTCTTGTCCTCTCAGATCAACAAGAACCAAGGCAGTTTTAAATCAATGTGTGAGCATTTTTAACAGCTCTCTCCTTGAACTCGGTGCAAAGAGAATAGGCAAAAGATCCAGGGTTTGTCTCTCCCTGATGAGTCTCGCCTGGACACTGGAGGTCCCAGCTTCCCCAGGCCTGTGGATCAGACCTTCAGTCAGCCTGTGACTAAGAGCTGAAGAAGGAATTAGTATCCTCTGGACACTTGCGTGGGAACATGGAGCCTCCCCACAGTTCCTCTGCTTACAGACTACAGAGATAGAGCTACGGGTCCAGCCAGCATGGCTGTCTCTGGGAACAAAAGGAGCAGGCAGTTTTGGACCCTGCAGGCAACAATAAACAAGTGATGATGAGTTGAAAGTATGTGAATGTGAACAAGACTGAAGACATCCATCACGGATGCTCTCCCAGCTCTGGCCAGTGAAGGGGAGCTATGTTTCAGTTTCCAGCTTCCACTTGAGGATGGAAGGAGTGGGACCATCCACCTATGCTCACTTTTCCAGCCACATCTCAAGAGGTTCATCTTTCCCATCTCAAGGCAAGGCAGGTCTCAGCGTACGCTAATCTCTCTGGGGCCACTGAGGACAGAGGCAGCGTGTTGGATAAGCACAAAGATTCAGAGACGCCAAAAATCTGTGGTGGGACTAACTGGAAAAATGCATCTTGTTGTACATGAGCCTGGTCTCACAATTTTGGGAGAAGTGGTATTCTTATCCAATGTACAGAAACTAACAGAGAGAGTCAAAGAAAATAAACAGGGAAAAGTATTCTAAACCAAGGAAAAGTTAAATCTCCAGAAACCAACTTTAATGAAATGGAGGTATGTGATTTATTCAGCTGAGAATTTTAAAGTATAATCGTAAAGATGCTCACTGAGGTCAGAAGACAAGTGCATAAACAAGGTAAAAATGCCAACAAAAAAGGAAAAATATAAACATCACCAAACAGAAATCATAGATCTGAAGAAGACAACTGCATTGTTGGTAAGAGTGTGAAGAAGGGGCCTTCTGTGCACTGTGGGGGGAGTGTAAATCAGTACAGACTTAGGGGAAACTATGGAGGGTCATTAAAGCAAACTCCTCTTCGGGGTATATGTCCCAAAGAATTAAAACCCTTCCCTCATAGAAATGCAGGTGCTCAGACCCAGGAAGAAAAATACCATGTGATCTTACTTGTGGATATAAAGAAATTGAATCTATAAAAACCTAACAGTGGGATGGTGGAGGAGAAGCAGGCAAAGGGTCCAAGTGGCATTTATGTCAGGTGAAAAAATCTGGAGATTGAGTGCACAGTCTGGGGACTAGAGTTAATAGTACTGTATCCTGGAAATTTGTTAAGAGAACAGATCCTAGGTCATAACACACACAATGGAGCCATGGCAGAAGATGGATATGTTAATTTGCTTCACTATTGTAATTATGTCACTATGTATGTATAACTATATAAAAGAAAAGAATTATCTGAGAATGAAAAACTGTGAGGGTTTCTATCTTACTGAATCTTCTACATAAAGGAAGTTACTTACTTTGCTACCACCAAGTCCCAAATCCATGTCTCAGGGAAGTACTTCCGAACAATCTCTTTTGGAGGGGGTGGACTGCTTCCCATTGGGAAGGCCGCGCTCATTCCACTCCGAAATGGAGATCCTCCTTTCACGGAAGAGAAAATGAGAACGATTAATATAAAGACGATGCTTCTGAGAGATTATAACAGATGCTACAGGGGAATAGGTAGAGTGGTGAAACCGGAACCGGAAGGTGGCACTTGGGCACTGAGGGACAGCTTCTAGGAGGAGCTGACGTTTTTGCTGAACGCTGAAGTATGAGAACAAGCTGGACTGGGGGAGAGGATCACAGGTGGAGAACGCGGAGACTTCGGAAGAACGTCTTGGGCTGTCTGTGGGGTGGGACTCTGTGGGGGACGGTGAGCCTGTCACTGCGCTAAGTGGGAGAACTATGGCGTGGGCAGGGCCCGGTTGTGTGGGCAGCTTTCTCTGTGGAAGCAAAGGAAAACTGTAATAGAGCTGTCAAGTCAGTGGGTTTGAGAAACAGTGTACAGGGTTGAAAAGATCAAAGGCAGAAAAGGCTCTTCGTTCCATGCTGTGTCAGAAAACCTGTAAGTTCCCTCATCCTGGTACACATAAAACGGGCAGTTATATTTTTCTGAGAAAAAAATATCTGTCTATGCAGTGTGAAAAAATATACAGTGAATTTATAGATTAAAAACATTTATAACAGCAAGAGACACACTGCTGTTACCCCACATCAAAATTAACCACCTTCCCCTTCAACACTGGTCGCACCATTCGTGCCACTTTCTGAAGAGTTCTGGAGTCCTCTCTCAGGAGTGTGTTTGCTTGGGTTGTTAAGGCTGCCTGGAGGCCCTGGATTAGTTTCAAACATTTACCTTGCATGGGTTCACTTACCCTTGACTTTGTGGGAAACCACAAGTGGCACGGTATGAGGTCCTCTCAACAAGGTGGGTGGGGACACACCCTACGTTTTTACAAGCCCACTTTTCCATTGGGTGGAAAAGTGAAAAGGATTAAGAAAAGGATTTCATTAAAAAAAGGATTAAAAGGGATTATTAAAAGGATTAAAAAGGATTTCCGGGACCGGGGATTTAGCGCAGTGGTTCCACTGCGTGCCTTGCGCAAGGTCCCTAAATTTGATTCCCTGGTACCTCCCCCACCCTCCACCCCCGGCCAAAAAGAAGAAGACTTCCAGAGCTGATTCAGAAAGTGGTAAGAACAGTGAGCTAAGTGAGGGGCAGAATTCTGAAGGGGATTAACATCAGTGTGTGTTTTACTATAATCAACATTACAAAATTTAACCATTCATGTATTTTGAGCACATCTCATATACTGCTGTGCAATTTCACTATCAATCTTACAAGACTATATAATTTACAAATACAAATGTATGATAACCTTTATAGTAAATTTCCTATGGCCAATTACATCACTGATGCATTGTATGGCTTCTACATGAGCAATGGCTGGTGATTTGGAGAAGCTAAAAGAGTGTTTTATTTGACTGAGGAGAAGGTGGTCCTGATCTGTGAGCATTCTGATTACTGTTCATATAGATTCTGAGCCTGGGAATGTTATCTTTTCTTTTCTACACAGCTCCTTCGATCAGAAGCAAATTCTTCTCGAATGACTTTGGAACTCCTCCAGCGGAGTTACCCCTTCCCTTTATTTTTTCACATGTGCACCTCTCTTCTGGCACTCTGCACAGTCTGCTTGGATTCTTCCCAGATTTTCATCGCTGTGATCAGATTTGGACTTGCTTTGTGTTTAACCGGGAGTAAGAACCTTACCATAGCTGAGTCACAAGTCCTTTTTTATTTTTTTGTTATTTTAAATCACATTTCATCTTTAAAAACTCTCTTATTGGGTTTAATATTTTAAATAAGATGTTTTTACCTGCTGGATACCCTGCATATGCCATGGGAACTGGAGTAAAGTGCTGGACAATTGCACACAGTTTGGGCTTCTGAATTTTTGAATTGGTGAACACCTTTAAGCCCATATCCTATAAAGGAAACGATCAATGTGTGAGTGTGTATATATTATTTAAAAGTATAAGCAGATATATATAAGCAAATATACATATATGCATGCAGATTCTTTTCACTGAATTTAACCAACAGTCCAATTAGTATAACATTAAATTTTAACGCTCACAGCTGTAGAAGACACATTCATAGACTTAAAGAGATAATTTAATTTTGTCATTGAAACTCTCAATGACAATTATACAAGTGATATTCATAAATATTGCAAAATAATGGATTTCATGGAGAAAGAAAGCTTGATTAATTGTGAAAAAAAATTCCTATCTTGATTCTGCTGCTTTTAGCAGATCTGCGCCAAGGAGTGACTGTGGAGAAGTTGTCCGACCTCCCTATTCCTTAACCTCAACCACATACAATATTTTAAGAACCCTAAGAACCAACTCTCTAGAATGTTAAGAGTTTACCTGTAGGAAGCCATACATATCTTTTTCATTTGTATTGGATACTGGGGAATACAGGATTCCACCAACGTAGGTGTTGTGGGGCCTGATGCAGTCTTCATTGTTTTCTTCCTGCAGATTCAGGCTCCCAGCATAGCCAGTGAGGTCTTTTACTGGTAGCAGATCATAAACCTGTGCGATGCAGATGACATAAAGGCAAACTTATTTGTGGCTTATTTTTAAGTGAAAGAAGCGAAGAGGGTGACCTCAATGCTTTGATAATTTATAGAGCAGGTGCAAATCCTTTTCTCTGAGCAGTTTTTTCATCATGGAAGTGTTTACCAGTTTCAGAAAAAGTTGAAATATTCCCATCTAATCAATCAAGGGTCACAAAACTAGGTTATACCATTCAGAGGCAAGCACTAGACTCAAGAGTAAAATGAAATAAACCTTATTAATTGAGAAGCTGAGTCCTGCTATATGTGAGGCATGATATAATAAAATTTAGAGATGATTGAAAGAATTGATAGTTTTGTCACTATCTTGTGGTTAGCAACTGGCTTGGTTCATAGAAAAATTACTGAACAGCTTTCTAAACAGGCACATGAATAAGTACCACACAAAAATTACAAGATCCCAAAGATGAATGTAACTATACTGTATACCTAAACTGTACCAATAAACTCAATGAGAGAGAGAAAAAAATAAGTACTACACATATTCTTTCTTGGACAGGATAGTATTTTTCTAAGGTATATTTTTCATGGAAATGAAATGGGCCAGATCTTCACACAGTGCATAAGTTCCTAAGATATTGAAAACAATGTTTTCAAAATCTGTTTGAAAAGAGTAAGACATATAAAAATCCTGACAGGTGCACTGTAATATATTTATAGGAGTGTGAAATGGATTGGAAAGAAGATATTAGCAAAGTGAATAGTCTGGTAAATTGAGACCCTTTCTTAAAGGCAAGTTCTTCTTATCATCTCTCACTCCCCCCCGCTTAATTTTGCTTAGTTTTTCTCTAAAGCACTTCATGTATTGTCTGTCTCATCTGTGAATGTGTAAATTTCATAGACATGGATTTTTCTTTTTCCAGTTCACTTTTAGATTCCCAGTGCTTAGTATAGTCCCTAGCACACATCAGGCTTAAATAAACATGTACTGAACAAATGACATTACCAGGAGCCAAGTGCTTTATTAATAAAAAACTAATGAAAGACTGAGAGGAACTAGAATTCTATTACTAAATATCTGAAAACGTCTGCTTTATTATCAACAATAAACACATGAATATTATCGTATTCATTACATTTTATATACTATTAACAAATAATTATAACAATATTATAATTACATAGGATGGTCTCCTTTATCTACCAACCAGAGTTAATAATTAAAAAAAAACAAACCTTTGAGAACTGAAAATTATGTTGTTCAAAAGTAAAGCATCAATGTTATTTTTCCACATATCCCTTTCTTCCACTACTGAAGTGTATTTAATATTTTCTTTAAAAGTATTCTAATATTTTTATTTAAAATCCCATTCAGAAGGACCAAAAATTAAGACTTATCTTCTTATAAGTTTCTGTTTTAGGGAAATAAAAATATAAAATTTTCCTTTATGAAATTCTGAGAGAAAAAACTTCAGTAAGAAGTTATTCCAATTTGCCTCATATTGAAAATTTGAAGATATAAGCAAACTAATAGAACACATGTCTTTAAGTAAAGGGTCATAGCATATACTTATGCTGTTTTTTATATTAACTCCATATTTTAAAGTATTTTATTAACCAATGTTAGTTATATAGTAATTCATTTTTCCTAATATTTGTAGATCAGGGGTAATATATACATTTTTATCAGAAATTATGTTCAGCTTGAGACATTATTTCAATTTGCATAATTCTTATAAAAACAAAAATCTGAGTGCTACTTAGCCTGTGGCATGTTAGTAGAAGCAAACATATCACTTCCATTAGGCTTTTCAAAAATTAAAAAACAATGGTTAGCATATGTTTGTGATATGTAATGAATATGTTAATCATGGGATATTGGTAAATATATATATCATTTTGATCATTTTTCCTCCCCCTTTTCCTCCCCTCAGTTTCACCTCCCCCATTCCCAGATTTAAATGTTAAAAATATTCTGAAAACCCATATGACTGGCTTTATAGAACTCGTATTTCAGGAACTCTGAATAACACACAGTGACTTTTACACGACATAAACATAACTTATGAATGCCTTCCCCAGTTCCTCAGTGAGAGTTGATCTTTTTATTTTGCATATTTGTACCTCTCTTACAGCATTTTTTCACAACTTATCTTATACCCTCTCCAGCACTGCGTGTGTGGATGGTCTGACCCAGAGCCAGAATCTTACATACCTGAACGAATCCTAAGTCCTTTCAGGGTTAATTTTATTTATTTATTTAATTTTTTTTTAGGCTTTTTGAGACAGGGTCTCACTATGTAGTTGAGACTGACCTGGAACTCATTATGTAGCCCAGGCTGGTCTCAAACCCACAGCGATCCTCCGGCCTCAGCCTCCGGAGTGCTGGGATTACAGGCGTGCGCCACCATGCCTGGCTGGGGTTAATTTTATTTTAATCATACTTTATCGTTTTAAAAAATTCTTTTATTTGGCTCAATACATCAGGCAATAAATTTTTATTAACTTTTTTCACCTGCACAAGTTAGTTGTGTGTGTGTGTGTGTGTGTGTGTGTTTATGGACAGAGAAAAAGAGACGAAAGATAGATAATATGAAATTATCTTCCTCGTTGTGATGAAAAGTGCGCACAAAAGAGCTCAAACCCTTAAGCAAATGCCGGAGACGTAGCTCAGTGGTTCTGCTGCCGCCCACCTCCCAAGCTCAAGGACCCAAGCTGGATCCCCGGTATCAAAACAATCAAACAAATACCTTAAGCAAACGATCAGTGTAATTTATTCCACCCAAGCAGTCCCAAGCTGCGAGCCCCTCGCGCGGTCCCTTCGGATCCCCCGGGTGGGGTGTGGGGTGGGACTCACCGAGGACGCGGAGAGCTCGGCCTCCGGCTTCAGGAGCAGCACGCTCTGGTCCACCGCCCGCAGGGCGCACAGGGACTGAGGCGCAGCTGTGACGCGCAGGCGCGTGTCTGAGGCTGGAAGGCTTTGCGCGGGACTGAAGCTCAAACCCACCTGGGAAATCGGGGAGAGAGGTCCGAAAAGCGCATTTCTGAATTTCACCTCGAATTCGTCCCTCCAAATTCACACATCGCCGCCTTGTTTGCCTTCCGGGCGGTTGGCATGATGCCGGGACTGAAACGTCTGTTCTTTGTACTTTGCTTTGGCTCTCAAACTTCAGTTGAGTCCTTGTAACGATTCCTAATTACTCTTATAATCTACTAACTTGGAGGTGTCATTTAAGAAATCGTCGATGCATGGCGAAGCCCTCACTACATGCGGGTGCAATGCAAATGGGTCTCGTGCTCCTGTATTTTGTTTTGTTTACTTATAGTCTGAAAAAACGGAGACATGTGCTCCCAACGTTTCATTAAAGGAGAAAGGAAGGCGGGGGATTTAGCTCAGAGGCCACCTGCCTCACATAACTTGGAGGTGTCATTTAAGAAATCGTCGATGCATGGCGAAGCCCTCACTACATGCGGGTGCAATGCAAATGGGTCTCGTGCTCCTGTATTTTGTTTTGTTTACTTATAGTCTGAAAAAACGGAGACATGTGCTCCCAACGTTTCATTAAAGGAGAAAGGAAGGCGGGGGATTTAGCTCAGAGGCCACCTGCCTCACAAGCGCAAGGTACTGAATTCAATCCCGGGTACCAAAAAAAAAAAAAAAAAAAAAAAAAAAAATAAAAAAAAAAAAAAAAAAAAAAAAAAAAAAAAAAAGAAAAAAAAGAAAGGAAGAAAGTACGAACTGTGACCCATGGTAAGAGATAACGCTGCACAGAGAATTTTGCAAAATGAACCAACAGCTGACCTTGCTAAACGTCTCTGGAGAGTTCACTGAAATCCTTGGCCTCTGCACTCACATGTAGAAAATATATAGTAACTACTAGTTTCAAATGTTGGAATCTTATGACATGAAGAACCCACCTTGTTGGCGAGACAATTTTCGACCTCATATTTTGCAGAATCCCCAATCATTTCCCCGTCAGGTAAAATGGCATAGATGAGCACTCGAGCAACAGGCGCTAGGTCGGACTCCACGGGGACTGACAAGAGGAAATGGCCTTTCGCTGGAGCACAGAGGGGGAAGGAAGCCACTGTGGGTTAGACTTCTCCCCAGGGCCAAAATTATCCTGCTGCAAAAGCCACTTTAGTTGCCTGGTGGTTTATTTACTATTTCTAGTAGTGGGTAAATAAATGGTATGTGTAATGAGTAGATAATTATCTCTAGGAACACTAGCTTTTGAAAAAAACTTTACGAAAGTCCTTTCTCCTATATAAATTGTATATAAACTTCTCACCAATTTTAAACTTTACCTAAACTACAGAGAGCTCTGATGCTACCTAAAGGTATAAAAACATCTACCTGGCTGCTGTTTGACCTAAATCTCACGCTGGAAGAGGGAAACAACATGAAGTTATGAGATGCAACAGAAAGAGTTTAACGCATGTTTTTGTGCTTATGCCCTCTTTACTCTTCTGTAAAACAGATATTTTTTTCTCCTTAGGAGGGCTGTGCTCCTTTGGCCATTATTTTTGATGTCTATGTAGATGATCTTTAGTCTATCATGGTACTTCTGTGTTGGTACCAAGAGGCAGCAAAGGAAAAATTTACTAATAATTTTCCATCAAGTTAGTATTTAGACTCCGTTAGAATCAGAGAAACCTTAAAGGGTTAATATGTGCTTATGGGGATGTCTTCTTCAATGTAACCTTCATAAGTTCTAACCTCCTCTGTATGAGAAATATGATATTTATAAAGATATGACTCAGCACAAGACCCGGTGTGCAGAAAGCATCCCAAGGCATTTCCTTCCTCCCCCTCATTCTCCAACACAATTCTGAAATGTGTCTGATTTGGAGAAGAGGGTTCACAAATACTGATAGTTCAAACATTTGGAATGAGCGTAGCATGTACACAACACCTCCATTTCATATACTGTAAGCAGAATAGGGGGAAGAAAAAAACATTATAAAAGCGAAATAAACATTCCTGTTTTCCCTCCCTCAACTTCCCCTCTGTTGTACTTAGACAGAAATTATCTCTATTTGAAAGTATTTCTGAGCTTTCTGTAAAGTAAGGGTGAATGGGCCAGAATGCAGCAAAATGTGGAGAGGTTGGAAATACTCACTGTTTTCCTGCTCCACAGGAAGCACCTGAGTCCCAGACAGGACAATGCCTCCCTTTGCCATGATCTGCAAAAAAAAAAAAAAAAAAAAAAAAAAAAAAAAAA